TAAGACATTCTTCAGTGATGGTCAAGGATTCAAATGCACTGCGTGCCAGAAATATTTTGGGAAAAAATTTATATTGCATAAGAAGCGATATCTGCAGTAAGACTTAAATAAGAATTAAGATTTGAATAAGATTTAAAACAGCAATGAAATGAATAAGACGAGCCACCTAATCAGTGATGGTCAAGGATTCAAATGCACTGCGTACCAGAAATATTTTGGGAAAAATATTTATATTGCATAGGAAGCAATATCTGCAGTAAAACTTAAATAAGAATTAAGATTTGAATAAGATTTAAAACAGCAATGAAATGAATAAGACGAGCCGCTTAATCAGTACAGCGTCGGACTCAAAACCGACAGGTCCCCAGTTCGAGCCCTGGTCAGATCACTCAGCTTTCTTCCAGTCGAGCTTGGTGAATATTACTGTGGGAAGGAAACAAGAGACTACGCACTATGCTTACCACATGGCTGTAGACATGGTTCCAACAAGAAATGTAGTAAAGAAAGAAATTCCACAGACAAATCTTTTTTCTCCGTAATTCCTTCCTAGAATTACCTAAACAACCTATTCTTGATGATGAAAGGTCAGGTGGAATAATTTACATTGACACATTCGCTCGCATGGAATATTTGAAACGTGTCCAATGCGCAAATGAGTTTAGAATCAGGTTCACTAAGACATATGGAAGCTATCTCTGCCAAGAGTGACTTACGAGTATCATTTTTAATCAATATTTTTCGTCATGTAGAATCAAATGTACATAGAATAATTAGTTTACGGATAACAGCGGGATACCGACGTTTCAAGGTAAATTTGTAGATTGTCTGGAAACTGTTCGGGTTGTAGGGAGCAGATGGTCTGTGCGGATCCTCTTGGACACCTCTTGATGTCATTTTATATACCAACCTCTGTAAGTTATTCCGGCGTTCTTCTAGGAGAAGAAACTGACTACAAATGTACATGGAAGGATAAAGAGTCCAGAAAATAAATTCTAAAAAATTAAACTTGATAAAATGCGTAAAACTTAATTTTCACGCGTCTATCAACTGAAAGGATAAGTCAAAACAAAGGTCGAGACGGCGAAGAATGATATTATTTTATGATCCAGTGCAAAAAATGACTAACGTACTACCGAAGTGGCAGCCATCTGGTTGATGATAGCCGCCATCACCTGTCCTAACTGCTGCTGCGCCGGATTGGTCGTCCCCGTTGCCGGTGTTATCGCCGCCGGTGAAACAGTGGTGGCGCCGGAGGCGGTCGCTGTTGTTGCAGGAGTAGCAGGCGTCCTATTCGTAGCCATCGCCGTTGCCTGCATGCCTTGAGTAAAGCCCGTGATGCTAAATTAAACAAATATTCTGGATCTCTCAAGAACACGCACGCTTTAGCTGATCCTCACTTGGAAAATAAATTCGGCGCCACTTCCTGCAGCACCTGCAGGCCGTGGTGTATCTCTCCAATCGCACTTATGACACGAGGATTTGTCATGGCCTCAACGAAAGCCGGGCTTTGAATCTTAATTTCAAAACAAATTTAAAATTAAACCAAAATTTCGCAATTCTTGTTCAACTTTATGGCTTTAGAATTAACTGCACATTGATTTTGGGAAGCAGTAGCTCCAACGACGTTTGGAAGGGTCCAGAAGCAACTGTCTGTGGAGTACGCCGTACAGACCGGTTTAATAAACACAATATCATAGGTTCTGTGTACCCTAATCATCTGGCCAAAAGACAGCCTATTTATCGACTCAAAAGCGACTCACTATGCTCACAGAGCTAGTTTTGCAACCTCCAACTAGTGACAACGTAAGGATGGATCAAAACCACTTAAACTATCATTGCTGCTATTGAAAAAGAATCGATTCTCAAGATGATGCGACAACAAAAGCTATGATACGGCAATATCGAATATGAATAGTTTAGCAAAACTCTAAATAACTCTATAATCTCAGCTTCACGCATTCTTTAGATTTTCATCTATCAACAGTCATCACAGGTGGCAGCAGATGGGAACATAAATGTTTAAAACAGACGTTAACTTAATATTTTATTCTGATATCGTCGTATCAAACAGAATGGCATGCGCAATGATCCGAACTCGATCGATAATTTGGGCATAGTTATAGGAATAAATGTTTTCATTTCACCATAAGCAATTTAATCTATATTAAAGTTTAAGTGCAATAACTTGTTTGCTGCACGAGTCCAAACAAACTACAAACCCAAAGGCAACGATGTACGGAAATTTACGCCATTTCGCTACTCCGTTTGAAGTATGGAGCACAACAAAATGGGTTCTGTGTCAGCTTATCACATAATGTCTTTTATGTCTTAAAAACATATTTCCTTATTAATTAATCGTCAAACTTAACAACAGCATTAACATTAACGCTAGCATAAATGCAACACTGATCCTTTGCAAATTTCCTGCCACTGGGCAAAGATATGAGAAAGTGGTTCCTGGTATCGGAGCCGAGCGAAAACCTAACTGCGACATCAGATTTATAGTGAAAGTTATGAATAACATCGAACTGGCCAACAGAAAGAGCAAAATTGGTATCAGTCAAGATCAACTGCTGCCCGATCGACGTTTATTAAGCTTTAAACAAGAATCAAAGCCAACCAGAAGTCATCAGTCCAAAATATATGCAGAACAATTACTTATCGCTTAAATTCTTATAAATACCTAAAGATCACGAGGCTGTGGTCAAAGAACTAATCACTAAACTTAATATATTCTTTATAATACACATGCCATGTAAATTCGTAGAACTAGAGAAGAATACTGTATATAATATAATGAAAACTGGTCTCGTAACAGTCATTCATTAATTGACAAACTTCGGCACACGAACAATTTGTGTCTGTGCGGTAGCATAAAAGGAGTAGCAGCTTCTGAAGGAATGTTCGTAATGAGCACGACGCAGCTCTAGAGAAAAAACTGATGAGAGATGCATCTGATACTCCGGGTGCTCAAAGGAGCCGCTGCCTGTTTAAATGGACCACTAGGCAACTAGGAGTAAGGGAGCAGTGCAATACGCCGTGAAATCTCGTCTTCGATTTGTCATTCCTTATTCAACGTAATCAGCCGTACGAACGGCTTATCATGTTTATGATGCACATATACATCAGATCCTATGGATCGATGGTCATAGGTAGAGAAAATAATCGATGCTGTCAATTTTTAATTGACTACCAACGCCTTAATGAAACGACAGTGGCCACCATTAGAACAAACTAAGTCCATAGCAGTTTAACTTGAGAGTTATGTTAGTCGTACGCCACTATGATGGTCAGTGTGCTTGAAATATGTGCAGTAAAATAAAGACCTATAGACCATCTTCAGTGCCTACAAAAAAAACACTAGCGATCGACAAAACATATTCAAAGAGTCGATGCAGTCAACGCTCTCTCAGAACGATGTTTGATACCTGCATAGGTTCTCCATTTATACGTTTGCAGCACAACATACGTGAAAAGTTTGGAGACACTGTGAAAAATATCGGACTATACAATCCCAGCAAATAAAATAAGGCAAACTTACTAACTGTTTCAAATGTTGTCCTTGAATTTTCACTCATACTCATATTATCACCATTTTATTTTCATCATTTTATCCCACTGCATCGACAAAACGCCGGCTGCTGCATAAGCATTCCACGTTGATCGAATAAATGCACGCTCATTTATCAATCCTTTGAATGACACTGCAGCTTTTACGAGATCCTCCCATTTTGTTCGAAGTCTTCCTGGCGGCTCTCTGTCATAAAGTTTTTGTTCAGTACTTGCTTCACAAGTGCTATCACTCATTCACTGATAATGAACCATCTTATATGCCTTGTGGTGATCGCATTAATTCGATATTCTAATTACAACGACATCTGACATCAGGTCATTCCCAAATTTGATCCTAATATTTTCATTTCAGCCGCTTCCGGTCTACTGTTAAACGCTCTCCAGGTCATGTAGCAAGATGTTCAAAATGCAAGCTGTGTATATCCGTAGTTTTATCTGCTGCTGACAATTTTTCCTTCTCATAGCTTCACTAACTTTCGCTTGCCGCTAATACCAACGCACAGCATTTCTTAAGCACATTTGTTACTGCAACTGAAATAATCCAACATACAGATGTTCTGCTACCTTCTGCACAATTTTTGTGTCAAATGAAAGAAAGTGATAGTCTAGGTTCCATCAAGACTATTTTATACTCTGTATTAACCAATGGCTACCGAGGGAGGTAACGTTAGCTTTTCTATTGCTTATACCATAAGAAAAATAAAATTTTTATTCATTTATAAAAGTAAATTTACTGGAATTGGATTTAATACCACATTCTCGTGTAATTCTTACTGCAATTGCATTTCATATTTGTATTTCTATTTAAAACACCTGATTTAGAGATTATATCATTCATGGCCATTACTTCTTTCAACATTTGAAATAACAGCTCATAGTGCGCTGAAAATCCTGCATCTTATTCGTGTTGATGGCCGTCGTTTGATTATTAACTGCCACATAAGAGTGCGCGGCAAAAAAAAAAACAAAGCCTGCCGTGGTTAATACCTGCTGAAGAACCGAGGGCAGCATCTGGCGCATCCGTTCAATGAGCTGCGAAGAATCGTTTGCCAACGGATTCATTCCCAGAGTCTGTGCGGCCAACTCGGGGTTTGACGTCAGCGACCTAGCCATCGCCTGGAAATACGGCGTTTGCGTCATGTTTTCGACCAGTTGCGGATTATTCAGCATCTGCTGCATCAAACTCTGTATTCCGGGACTGTTGAAGATGTCAGTGCCTGAAAAATACAGCGATTACCAACAGGGTTAAGCGAAACAACTTTATAACTCAGTGATGGCAAACCATTAGTGGGACCACCGGGGGCTGCTGCACGTCTACCCTCAGCGGCGGCAGCTCCGGTTGCAGATCCGGAGCGATTCATCCACGGGTTCGGCAGTGGCTCCCTGTTCTCGACGCCAGCTCGAGCACTCTGTGACGCTGCAACACAAGGACAACGATTAAATACAAAAATCAATGGTGCGTACCATTGTGCGCACTATCAGAAGCCAAACTAGCGAACGGGTTCATCGTGCCGAGTTGTTCCTGTGCGGCGTTCAGCATCGGCTCCTGAATGTCTCTGTAAAGACGCTGCAACGCCGCCATTCCACCGGGGACACTCTTCGATTAAAATCATACGTTAGTTCAATGCGCATAAAAACCATCCATCAAGTTACCTCCAGGTTGCTTACCGCTCGGTCATGGCTTCGCATCAGTTCCTGCAGCGCTGCAGGATTCCGTATCATGTCAAGCGTCTAAACGACAAATGCGCTGTCACACAGGAAAAACGCCCTGGAACTAGAAACTCTAACGCGTCATGAATTTCGTCAAGCGATACAAAATAAAAAAAATGCTTCCAATGTAAATATTCAAATATTATAATAAAACTACGCAATCCAACCTTAGCATTCATGTCGCAGAGTGATTAATGACTAAAATACGAAATCGATTGCAGGGGCAAAACACGGTAAGCGATTCTTCCTTAAGGCATATTTCCAACCCGATAAAAGTTGTTCATCGAAGCAGTGTCAATCGCAGTTGACTTACTTCTTTTACCATCCTTTACCATAAAGTAAAATCTGTCCAGCACAAAAAACTTTGATTACCACCTTGTATAAAACGACCAAAACCGTCTGTATAAATGGTCAAAGGCATGGTGAAGTTCATTAAAAATTTCGTTTAACCTTGAACGGAAAACGGTGGCTGACTGGTCTGACTGAAATAGTATATAATACGACATAAAAATGGATGATTTCAATTAACAGAGCAAAACAGACATCTGTCATGTATGGTCAGTACCTATGAAACTGTAACAGAGAAAGGTGCACAAAATTGAAATCATGTCATCGTTCTTGTCAGTTTACTACCGAAACGTTATTATTATCAGCCGAATTAGCGGATGATCTGGACTGCAGAAAAACCTCTTAAACCTCCTCGCAACTGTTAATATATAACGGGACAAAAGAACTTTATCAATAATGACGAGCTGGCAAGAAGACTGCCTTGCGAAGGCATACTTGGCTAGTGCAACAAAAATATAAAATTCATTCTGACAAAAATAACATGACCACTGCTAAGATAGCTCAGTTGGCTGAGTATCAGAGATGCTGGTCTTAGGCCTCAGTCGGGTCATTCGTCTTTCTTCCTTCTGATGCTGATGAGTGAATACTACTCTGTGACAAGGAAACAGAAAACAACATGCCATGCTTGCCACATAGCTACCGTCGACTCAACCTTTAAAACAAGTCACTCATGGTTGATGTCATGGAAATAAACATTTGAACTCCCCTCCCCTCAACACCATTAAACTTTATGAAAGGAAAGATGAAAGAACTGGCTTCAACATGAAAGTATACGAAGGACAGATATTTCAACGGTTACGAATCTTCGCTCCACTTTACGTTTCGACAGTCGTTTAATATGCTATGCAAAACAGCATGCTGCCGATTTACATGACGAATGGTACGAATGCGACGCAGCAAACAGTCTATTTTATTACAAATGGATGCAGCTTACATTCTGGAGGCTGTTCATTTGTTGTAAATGCCCATTCTGTATTTGCATATAACCGTAGCTGAGACCGGTTGTGATTATCTTGAAAACTAATTATCAACGTACTCAAGATGATCATGACGCGACGACGATGACAATTCGGATGATAATGATAATTCTGATTATGAATGGTCATATTCGTCGTCATAATGACAATCGAAGATGAGCTGATGACAATAGTGATGACGATAACTGATAATGATACGGTGATTATGACGACAACTATTATCATGCACTAATAACAGCGATGATCGTGATTATGGTGATGACCACAATGGCGAGCGGGTCTGATAATAATACTGGTCAGAACGATTAAACTCATGAAAATAATTCTGAATAAGGGTAAGGATCCGTATGGCAATAACTGATTGTACTCTTTTTGTAAGTGGTAACGGCAACTATAAGTCTAGGACCAGTTTCGTCAGCCACG